AGGATGTAGGAAGGGAGATACTGTGGACCCTTCTGGGTCACACTCCCATGATCAGCCTCTCCCCACAGCAAGGCTGCTTTGTTGCCCCATGATGCTTTGGGAACCATTTCAGGTCCAAACCATAATAACTACCAATAAATAAATAAAGACATGCCTGTCATCCTAGCACTGGGAGGCTGAGGCAGGAGGATTGCCATGAGTTTGAGGCCAGCTTTAAGTGAGACCCTGTCTCTAAACAAACAACAAACAAACAATAATAAAAGTAAAATAAAAAGTTTTTAAAATGATGTAGCTGAGTCCTACCTCATGAGGGGCTCGGCATCTAAGATCAGCAGGTAGGGCAAAAATGACGAACATTAGGGTCTCATGGGCTCGTGAAGAGCCTTTGGAAGGCACCCTGGAGGCACACGCCGTCAGTCTCTTGTGCAGTTCTCTGCTCATGTGCACCACCTTGCCACTCTCCAGAGGGTCCAGATTAAGAAGCTGGCTGGCGTGTAGAGCTCATGTTGTGAAAAAGGGTGTAAATCTGTAACAGTGATATTTAGTGTGCTGAGATGTACAGGAGGAGTCCAAGACTGAAAGGAAAGGCAGCTTCCAGCATCCTCCCACTTGGACACCCCCACACACACACACTCACGCTCATGATCTACCCTACTGTGGTTGTGTTTATCGGATCTCTAGAGCCAGAGTGTGTGATTTAGACATGCACGTAGGGTGCCTCTGATCCACTCCCTTTGTCACAGAGAGGTCCTGAGAACCTAACAGACTTCTACTGTGGGTTCCTGGCAGGTTGACCTAGATTCTGAGGCCACAGGCAGGGATCTGAGGGTGCCTGGAGCAGGCTGTGTGGATGAAGACCGGTGATCTTGTGGGACTCTGAAGAGGAAGAGGAAAGGGAAGGACCAGAAAGCAGAGGCGGGGGCTGGAGGAGAGCAGATATCTCATTCAAGAGGAGGGGCAGGGTGGGGAACAGGAGGAGAGTGAAAAGAAAGACACAGGTAGGTTGAGGAAGGTTTTGAGAAGGAGAAAGCAACTACCCAGGGTTGACCTGCTCCACTATCACAAAACTAATTCCTACCCTTCCATAAGTAAAACCTTCAAACATGAGCAGTGGAGGTGGGGAAGGCCAGTCTATACATAAGAGAATGTGGGGCCGGAGATTTAGCTCAGTGGTTTTTGTCTCCTGTTGTGCAAGCCCAAGGATCCGAGTTCAATCCCTGGTACCAAACAAAACAAAACATAACAGAATGTGTTTCGGGGGTTCTTTTTGTAGTGCCGGAAATTGAACCCAGGACCTAAAAAAATGCTACGCGAGTGCTCTACCTCTGAGACAGAGGCCCAGCCCTTTTGGATTTTTAAAAATTGTATTTGAGATAGGGTCTTGATAAATTACTCAGACTGGCCTCAAACCTGCCTGCTGCCTCAGCTTCTCAAATAGCTGGGCTTACAGGCCTGCATCACCACACCCCAGCTTCAGAATATGTTTACGAGAGAAAATGTGATGTGTCAGGACAGTCTGTTAGTCATTCATGTATGAAAAGGGAAAATGCCACACTTCTGAGTAATCAAAGTGGATTGTTCTTTTAGTTCTCCGAATAGTCCCCCAAGAATTGCATTAAAACAATACATCTGCTCATCTCACATTCATTAGGATAGCCACTATAAAATAAACAAAACAACAAACAAAACCCCCAGAGACTAGCGAGCACTGACAAGGACATGGAGAAATGGGAATCTTTGTGCACTGATGATGGGGATATAAGATAGTGCAGCCACTGTAGTAAACAGTATGGAAGTTCTGCAAAAAATTATAAATAGAGCTGGCGACACTCATTTGTAATCCCAGCACTCTGGGAGGCCGAGGCAGGAGTGCTGCAAGTTCAGCTCAACCTGGGTAATTTAGCAACTTCACGAGACCCTGAGTAGATCAGTGCAAAGGCCCTGGATCCAATCCCCAGTATCGCATGCAGACGTGCACGCGCACACACACACACACACACACACACCTGACTACCACAGGATCCAGATCCAGCAATCCCACCCTGCTAGGTGTATATCCAAAGAGATTAAAGGCATCATATAGAAAAGAGACTTGTACATCTAGGTTTAGTGGCACTATTCAAAATACCAAAGAGGTAGAAACAACCCAAATATCCCTTGATGAATAAATAAACACAATGTGGTATATGCATACAATAAATAGCCACAAGAACGACAGAAATTCTAACACATTCTGCAACATGAATGTACCTTGAGGACATTAGGCTAAATGAAATTAGCCAGTAACCAAACTAATACTGTATGAGTCCATGTATATGATTTATCTGAAGCAGTTAAACGAATAGAGACAGAAGGTTAAATGGTAGTTGTAAGGGTAAGCTGCTTTTTGTTTGTTTGTTTTTGTTTTGTGGTGCTGGGGATCAAACCCAGGGCCTTGTGCATGCTAGACAGGAAACTATTTTTTAATGGTTACAAAATCTCAGTTTTACAAAATTGTTTTTGTAAATCTGTTTCATAATGATGTGAATATAATTAACACCACTCAACATATGCTTAAAAATGGTTAAGATGGTAAATTTTATATGTCTTACTATAATAAAAAATAAATAAAACAATTTTGAAAGAGCAATAAAAATACATTTACTGATAGATCCCACCTTATTCACTGAAAAACAGCTAGTTTAAAAATATCCTGCTCAAAATAAACCAACAATCAACAAATGGAATTATATCAAATTAAAAAGCTTCGGTACAGCAAAGGAAACAACCAAAAGAATCAAGAGACAACCTACAGAAGGGGAAAAAGGTTTTGCCAGCTACTCCTTGGACAGAGAACTGATATCTTAAATATATAAAGAACTAAAACAAAAATTAGCCCCTCAAAATAAAAGATTCAATCAAAAATGGGCAATGGAAATAAATAGATATTTCTCAAAAAAAAAAAAAAAGGTACAAATGGCCAATATGTACATGAAAAACTGTTCAGCGTCTTCGTCTTCGGCCATTAGAAAAATACAAATCAAAACAACATTGAGCTTCCATCTCACTTTGGAAGGAATGGCTATCACAAAGAACTCAAAACACAGTAAGTATTGGTCAGGTTGTAAGGAAAAAGGAACTCTTGTACATTGTTCACAGGAATGTAAACTAGTAAAACCACTATGGACATCGGTATAGAGATGCTGAAAAAAGACTAAAACTAGAAATTCCATTTGACCCAGCTACACATCTAGGCACCTTCCTCAAAGAGGTGAAGACCTCATATTAGTCACACACACACATACTCATGCTTATAGCAGCTGAATTTTGGAAGTGTCCATCCACAGATGAACAGATAAAGAACACATGGTACATATACACAATGGAGTACCAGCCATCTGTAGAAAAATGGATGTATCTTGAGTCCATAATGCTGAGTAAAACAAATCAGACACGGTCAGTTAAATATCGTAGGGTTTCTCTTATATGAGCAACCCAAGGTACAAATACTTTAAGGACCAAAATAAAAGACAGATAGTAGGAAATAGACAGACTTTGTGGAGAGGGGAAGGGGCTCTGGGGATAGGGGAAGATGAGAGGGAAGGGGCAGTAAAAAGGGTCAAGATGGCCGGGGATTTAGCGCAGTGGTGCTGCCACCTGCCGCGCAAGCGGAAGGTCCCGAGTTCAATCCCCGGTACCAAAAAAAAGGGTCATGATGCGGCATGTGTATATACTAATTCACCACGAGGAATGTACTTAGTATGTATCGCAGACATGTACTAGTAAAAAACTAAAAATAAATACATTTTAGAATGTTCAGTATGACCTTATCTTTGTCCTTTTCTATTCTAATACACATAAATTATTTTCATTAGGACACACCTCAAAAGATCACCAATATAAGCGCAAGGTCCCAAGTTCAATCCCTGGTACCAAAAAAAAAAAAAAGATCACCAATAATTACTTCTGGGTGCTAATTTTGTTTGTTTGGCTGGTCTGTGTTCTCTTTTTTTATGGGAATATTTGCCACTTAGTAAAATAACGAAATTCACAGTGATTGCTAATCATTAATTTAAGATAGTAATATTTCCTGTGTAAGACAAGGCACTTGGGCTTTTTCTGAATTAGCTCATTTTCTTTGAGGTAGGTACAAGTATTAAGCTATTCTGAGGTGAGAAAACACGGGTCAGGTAGCATGTGCAAACTCACACGTGAATGTCAGTGTTCTGTTCAAACCCAGGCAGTCCTCCTCCACTCTGTCACTGACAGCCTGGCAGTGCTTCTAGGCCAACATGACACACCCACTTGTCATCCCGCGGGTCCTTTCAACAGCGCAACTACGATCTATGCTTTACTTAAGCTCATCATTAATACCCCTTCCTGATGGCTGTAGTGTACAGTATTTGTTGGAGATAAGACAAAGGCTAACTTTCTTCTAGAAGTCTCAAGTCACGTGACCTTCCAGGTGGGTCCAGACAGAGCCAACTGATGAGACAGTCCTGGGGAACCTGAGTGGGCTGGGATTGTGTACCATACTCAGGACACTCACCTTCTTTGTCTGTTTACCACCTCCGCCGTGCACTACAACCAACCAGGGTTTTTCTATTTTGTTTATTGTCTCAAGGAACTGGCTTTTTGATCCATTGTTCTTTGTTTTTTTTTTTTTTGGTCTCCATTTCATTAAGTTATGCTCCGATCTTTATAATTTCCTTCCTTGTACAAACTATCGATTTAGTTCTTTGTTTTCTAGGACCTTGAGATGCATCATTAGGTTATTTGTTTGGGCCCCTTCTGTTTTGCTGATATGCATTCACTGTTGAATTGCACAAGAACTTCAGGAAAGATCTAACATCAACACTCCTCAAACTCTTCAATGAAATCGAGAGGGAAGGAGTACTCCCAAAATCATTCCTAGAAGCTATCATCACCCTGATCCCAAAACCAGACAAGGAACGAACCAAAAAAGAGAACTATAGGCCAGTCTCTCATGAATACAGATGCAAAAATCCCCAACAAGATACTGGCAGATAGAATGCAACAAATCACCAAAAAGATCATACACCATGACCAAGAACAACCAGCTTCAACTGGAGGGGATGGCAATGTACAGACATGAAAGACTGTCAAATACGGTGATTGTAATATAATCTATCTCCAAAGAATGATTATGAGTATGTAATTAACACTTTGTATGCAGACATTTCTATCTCTGAGGAGCTGAGAGAGTCTCAGATTGTTTAAATATACATCATATTCACTGCTGGAGACAAAGTCTATGGCTTTAGAAGATAATTAAAATTCCTTCCCCTTTGGAATTAAGAAAATTGCCTGTGGGATGGATATTATACCCACCAGCTATATGAATAGATCTAAACCTGGGAACTCTGAACATGGGGCTGGAAAGACTCTCAAAGAGCAATCTGCCCCCAAAAGACAAATATCAAAAAAACGTAATTTCAATTTCAAATAACCTGTTCATGGAGAAATTATTAACCAATCACAGCATTCTTCGCCACAAAACCCGGACCTATTCTCAGGATCCTTCTCAGTGGAGAACTCTGAGTAGCCAATGCCAATTAATCAGAGTCACGTCCTGTTCACTATCCTGGAAGTTAGTCCACTCTCATCCCTCCAGTGTGACAGACAGAAGACTGACCTTCAGAGAGGTAAATTAACTCGACAAAAGTTACACAGTTAGAAATCCAAAGCTGAGGTTTCCAAGTTTTGTTTTCCCTTCATCTTCCCACCCCTGCCTCTTTGATCTGTTCATATTACACTTGGTAGATTATGTGGTTTACCGACAATTCCTCTCTTGAATTAGCTGATCAGAATGCCTCTATCAGTAATTTGCTGAAGGACAATCTGTCTATTGCTTAACTCCTTTCCACATCAGGTGTTTTCAAGACAAAAATGGAGATGGTGGTCTGAGTTCAGATTCTTGCCGCTCTTAATGGCAGGTCAGCTGCTCTTATGCAAAGTGAGTTGCTAATGAAATGTGTCTGCTTATGGGGAAAGGACCAGACCTCTGGAGAGCAACCTCTTAGGCAAGGTCCTGTGCCCCTACAGCAGGGGGTTGAGCGCTAGGGGTTGTACAAATGGAGTAGGACACTGGCTGGGGATGCTAAGGCTACTGGAGGCAAAGTGGCATTTAAGCAACACTTTGGAGATCAATAGGATTAAATGTTCCTGTTGACTGTAAAAATGATGCGTGGCTATTACAGTTATTGAGAGATGCAGAATGTCAAGAGGAAAAGTCACTCTTGTTTTCTTTACTCATCAACCATGTCAACTTTATATATATATATATATATATATATATATATATATATATATATATATATATATATATATATATATATATGGGACTGAAGTCAAGGCCTTCACACTGAGCTACATCCCCAGGCTCTCACCTCTTTTTTTGAGACAGGGTCTCACTAAGTCAAAAAACTGCCCAGGTGGGGCTTGAACTTGCAACCTGTACCTCAATGTCTCAGAGTGCTGGGATGACAGGTGTGCACCAACACGCCTGGCTAACATTTTGTTCCTTTTTCTCTTTTGGTATCTTTGTACTCTATGCACAGGTACTTTTTTTCCTTCCTTTCACATTGTGATTAATCTAAACATATTATTTTAAATTTTGATTTTTAAAATGTTTCAATACATTATGTGGATGAGCCATAACCTAGTACATAATTCTGTTCAAAGGCATAACCAACAGAGATGCATACATACATATATTCACCCAAAGGCATACACAAACAGCAATTTGAATGATAGCCCCCAAATGAAAACATCTGAATATACATCAGTGAAATGGGTAAATTACAGTATATTCAAACACTGAAAGATAGCAATGAAAAGGAACTACAATGACACAGAGCAACAAGGATGAGCCGCATAAACATAACATTGAGCAAAAGAAGCCAGATACAAAAAAGAACACAGTGTATGATCCACTGATGTAAAATGCCAAACCAGGCAAAACTAACTTCGAATAGAAGATATCAGAACAGTGCTTACCCTGGGGACATGGTTAGTGAGTAGAAGGGAGTGTGGGGCACCCGGGTGAGGTGAAAACAGCATAAAATCCCAGTAAAAATTACTAAGGAGTTCTCAGCTTTCAGCTCGGAGGGGGCCCAGATGCAACTTTCTTTGGTTGTCCTGAATCCAGGTTTGTCTGACACCAGCCACCTCCACTTTGCTGCCCAAGTTTAACCCCAACGAGATTAGTGTTCCTGAGGTGCACCAGCAATGAGGTTGGCGCCAGGCCTACTCTGGCCCCCAGGATTAGTCTCCTGGGCCTGTCTTCAAAAAAAGTGGGTGATAGGGCTGGGGATTTAACTCAGTGGTTTCGCTGCCTGCTGCGCAAGCGCAAAGACCCGAGTTCGATCCCCGGTACCCAAAAAAAAAAAAAAGTGGGTGATGACATTGCCAAGGGTCTAGGAAGGTCTGAGGATTATAGTGTTGCTGACCACTCAAAACAGAGGCCCAGCCTGAGGTGGTGCCTTCTCCGACTCTTCTGCTAGTCTTGTGTGCGTCATTCATGAGATGTAGTCATGCAGATTGCCTGGGGCTGGATGGTTCAAGATGGCCTTTGCCGGTTTTTGATTTACAGTCTCTCCCAATCAGCCTCTTATTCCTGCTCCATTAAAAAGGATCTGGGCCCTTGAAATGTGTTTCCTTTGCCAGATAACAAGATATTCAGCTCTGTCAGTGGAGGTGCCGGAGAGGCGTTGGAGGAGGAAAGGGGTTTGGCTTCCTGGTCACAGTGTGCTTGCTCGTCAGGCTTCTGCAGTGTGAGCAGTCTTCAAGGCTCAGCTCTTGCAGCACAGACGCCTTCTCCAGCTTTAGATCCCCATAGTTATCGCTTCTCGGCCTTTTGGCTAAGATCAAGTGTAGATCCCTGTAGTGCATACCAGCCAGCAGCACCTGGCAGCCAACAGCTGCCCCAAGAATTTTTTTTTTTTTTTTTTTT